AGCAGCAGCCGAGCCAAAGAGAGACCAGGGAAACTTCCCCAACAGGCAACCAGTTATGCCTCTGCTGTGTCTTCCACTTGAAGAGTGTAGGGGAGGGGTCCCAGGATCAAATGATGCCCCCATGTCCCTCCTCTCCTGACCAAGGAGCCAGAATGGAGGGAGGAGGGAAGGAGCAGTCGCCCCTCCCCAGACCCTGACAGGCGAGGCACAGAGTGGAGCAGACATTCAGAGCAGACGGGAGGCTGGCGTTTTCAACGGGACTGGACTCATGAAGGCGCTGATTAGAGAAACGTAAAATGTGTTCCTGTTCATATCCCACCAACTCAAAACTCCTTCATAGTCTGAATACACAGACATTGATTCAGAGTTTAAACTGTGCTCTTGCAGAAAAGAATCAAGGGGGCATGAAGCTGGACTGTCTGTAAGATAAGATCTGTGAGATCTCCAGGGCACCCTTGAGAGGCACCCTGAGGCCCAGAGTCTGAACTCCTGGGTGTGCTTCCTGATCCCAAGATTTGCTGGACATGCAGTCTTTAGCAAGTCATTTCACTGCTGGGAGCCTCAGTTTTCACGTGTATAAAATGGGTTGTGTGAGGATTAGAGACGTATGTATTAGAGGTGTATGGGGATATGCTTTTTAAATGGCAGGGTCAACATTCCCTGTGAGCAAAACAGGTAAAGTCTTAGACAGCAGGCCCTTCTCTAGGTCCAGGGCTAAAGACTAGGCTCAGGGGTGGGTGGTGAGGAGGAATGTCCCTGGTAGAGGTGACAAAATGGCTTTAGTTTGAGTGGGCGAGTCTCCAGACTGACAAATAAGCCCTGCCCTGCAGGCACCTGGCTTCCCAGACATCACAGCTGTCCTTCTCCCCAGTTCCTCTACTCCCTTCCCTGTCCTGGGAGCAGCGAGGGACACCTGCCCCCACCCTAACCTCCCTGTCAAAGTCTAGTCACTTAACTGGTCAAGACGTTGACAATCAGCGATCCTCACACTCTCATTTGCATCATCTCCTCTGAGGCAGGACGATTCCTCCACCTTCTAAATGCTGAGTCAGCACAAGAGTCCTGACAAGGCTACAAGGCTGTGGGCATTTTCTCACCCCAGCTCCTAACCTTTCCCTGGGTTCGGTTCCCACAAGGGAAGGGCCTTGGCTGACTTACAATGGAGTCAAGGCTTGCGGACTGTCTTCTCTTGGTCGTTTGTCCTTCACCCCCCTCCTCCCTCCCAAGCCAGAGTCTTCCTCTTTTCTTTCCTGTTAAACCAGTCTAACCCCCACTGCATTCCATAACCCTCTTGAGTTATGTCTGTCAGGACAGTTTTGACCGCAAAGAACAGCAAGTCTGATTTAATGTGTCTTAAGAAAACAGCTTGCCAGCCGGGTCTGGCTTTAGGCCCAGTGAGGTGTACAGCCTCAAACAGTTGGGGCAAGACTTAGTCTCTGCCCCTCTGTCAGTTCTGTTCCTTGTCTTTGTGGTGGCAGGATCTCTCAGCGTCCCATTCTCCCAGTAACCCCACAGAAAAGAGACAACATCTTCACCAGGCTTCCAGCAATGTCTGGGCCCTGAGCCTCTTTTGCCTGGCCCAGCTCACCTGCCTGTTCTTGAAGCAATCCCAGAGGGATGGAATGATTGGGCAGGACTGGAGGGGGAGGTCTGGGGTCAGTTCTACAGGGACTGAGAAGGGGGCAGGGATGGTTGCCCACCGTTGAGCAGAACGGGTGCTAGGAAGGCAGAACAACTGAGGTCCATTACAAGTCATCATGTCAGAAACATTGGGCCTGGGGCAGGGATAGCTGAGCTCAAAGAAAATGGATGACCAATGGGCTGGTCACCCATCGGTGGCTTTGGGATGGTCTGTCCTGCTCTAATGCCCCAGTAGTAGGCTCTTGAGGGGTTGGAGGTGGAGTGTGGGTTGTTGGTGAGGTCCTGCCAGAGACCAATGGACCTCAACTTCTCCATTTGGGGATCCTGTCTCTTTAGTCCTAGACTCTGGTTTCCATGGGTCATGAGTCATGGCCATAGACATGCTCTGCCTTTCTCTTCCTTCCTCTCTCCTGCCTATGACCAAGGGATGAGGCCACATCACCCATTTCCAGAGCCTCAGAGACCCCGGTCTTTTCTAGAAGCTTTAAAGGCCTGAGCGTCCCTGCTTGGTCCCCTCAGAGCAGACCCCCTGAGCAGAGGAGTTCCTGGGGGGTTGTTGGCCCCAGGTCACTTCCCCCTTCTCAGGTCATCTCTAGAGTTCACCCCTATCTGAAGCCCTCCTTGGCAATGCCAGGTTTGAATGTTCCAGGGATGGGGGTGTTCAGACTACCCAGGCCAAAAGGATCACACACCATGAAATGGAAGAAAGCACACCTTCATTTCAGCCCCCACCCTCTCAGGACCCAACACCACAGCACATGGCCTGGTGTCCATAGCACACAGTCCAGAAGATACCAGTGAACACAGCCCACAGTGCAGCATCACAGATTCTCCAAAGGGTGTGCCTGGGGTCCACTGCAGGTGGGGATGGGGAACAGGGCCCAGACCCAGAGGAGCAGCACAGAGAAAAGGTGCCAGATGAGCCCCAGGACGTGATGTGGAGTCCCAGCTACGGGAATGAAGCAGCAGTGGCTGCGAGAGGTCCCTGCTTTGGCCATCACGGGTCCCAGCTACAGAGCCATCCCAAAGGTGAGGACAGCCCTGAGAGTGGGCTCCTGGCACAGGCCAGCTGGCAGAGGTAGTGTAAACACATCTGAAGGTGGGAAATACCTAAAGACCAAGCCAGGTGCTCTCTGGGCTGGGAGTTGCCTGGGTTCCAGGAACAACAGGGGTGAGTGTGGAGAGGAATCCAGTCAGAGAGTAGCAGGGCTCGAGGATATTGGCTGGGCCCAGGAAAAAAGGTCCCACAGAAATGGAGAAACTGCCAGGCAGAGAGAGGGGACACTGGGGACAGAGAGGAGACTAGGGGAGACTGAGAGAGAGGGAGAGACAGGGACAGAGAATGGGGGAGACTGAAGGGAAGACAGGAGACTGAGGCTTAGTTTTCCGCTTCTCTTCTCCCACCAACTCTGTGAGCTCTGGGGTGGGCGGTCCCCACCTTCTCCTAGCTGGGGAGGAGGACAGGACTCTCCTCAAATGAGGCTCCTCCTCCATCTGAGATTGAGGCCTGGGAACAAGGCTGAGTTGAGGGTGAGAAAGGACCTGCTCAGCCCTGTCTGCCTTACCTCTTCCCCAAACTGGGTGTGGGCCCCCACTCCTCCTCCTCCTCCTCCTCTGGGGTGTGCCCTGCCCCAACCTGCCCACACTGATCATCTTGCACCCAACTCCAGGTTGACTCGTCCCTGAGGCTGACCTGAGTCACAGGCCATTAACTACCCTAGGCCCCTCACGGGCAGAGAGGGAAGGGGTGGGGTGGCAAGGGAGGGAAGAGTCAGGGGAGTGAGAGCTACATCCACACAGTCAGGTCCAGCCCCAGCAGTGCCGAGTCTGCCCTCAGTCCCTGGGACCTAAGTACAGAGAAAATCTGAAGAGAGAGATTTAAGAATGCACATAATTTTTAAAATATTTTTTTATGTGTGTGCATCAGGGTTTTAAAAAAATCTTTAATTCATCATCTCCAAACTCGGTTAAAAATGTTTTTCAAATTGCACTAAATTACTCACTATAGCAGCACCGCCTTAAGTAACCAGAACCTACAAGTGCTGGATTTTAGATTTCTAATATGTTCTTTCTCTACCTTTAGGAAGGAGGGGAAGACCACTAAACTGGTAGATTTCATGAGTCAGGCAAAGCAACCTCCAGCAGCATCTGTAATCCCAACATCAGCTACTCCAGGAGTCCTGAGCTCAATTGCCTGCAGGCACCAGACAGGTACATAAAGGAAGTTCAGCAAATCTTGGTGTCTTGGAGTCCACGGTGGGGGGGGGGGGGGGGCGGGACCATGAGAACTGAAGAGTGAAGCCCTGGAGAGAGGGGACAGTCACTCTTTAGCTCCAGCAGAAACTCAGCAGTCGTCCCAGTGTGGGGCTTTTGATTTCAAGAGAAGGGGGAAATTTGGTACACATTTTTAAAATGTGGTATCTCTTGATTTTTAAATGTTAGCTCAAAACAAAAAACAAAACCACCCCATAGGCCAAACAAAACAAGTCTTATGGCTGGTTCCTAGTCTGACTTTTATGAAATCTTAGAGATTCTGAGAGTTTTGGGATCCTAGGATCATCTAGTTCCATGATTCAGAAACTTGAATGTGCATATAAATACTTGAGGGAACTTCTTAAAATGCAGATTCTGAGTCAATAGGTTTGGCCTGAGATCTGCATTTGCAATAAGCTCCCAGGTGATGTCACTGCTGCTGGTCCACCACCCACACCTTGTGTGGTGAGGATTTAGTTCACCCTTCCACCTAAGCGTTCCCTCTGACTGTTACATCCCTGGTCAGTGATGTCTCCAGTTCTGCTCCAGCACCGCTAGGGACCGGATGCTCACTACCTATGACGGCAGCCTGGGCGGCTGCAGCTTCTGCTAAGTTCTGCCAGGCTCTGTTGCAATGGTGAAGGACACCCAGAGTCAAACGTGCCAAGGCCTAGCTATGGAACATCAGAGTTCCACAGAAGAAACTTCAGCTGGGGACTTATCAGGAAGAGGGTGACACTGTTGCCGAGAGGAGTTGCTGTCTACACAGAAAATACTCCTGGTCCTAGGTGTTCTGGTTAATAAAGGTTTGGTGCAATTTGTTTACCTTCCTTTCCCCAAAGCCTTGAAGCAAGCTTTTCTCTGCACTTGGGCAAGTTACCTGGTTATGCCCACAGGAGGAGAAGCCAGGTGCTGACTGGTGAGGGATGGAGAAGGGAAGGAAGCTTGAGGCTCAACAGAAGGCCCCGCCTCCTCAGGCCATGTGACAACCCGTGCTTTGTCTCTACCTCCTCTGGAGTTAGGGCATCCAATCTCAGATCCTCCTTCCTGGGGCCTTGAGAGGCCCCGGAAAGTGCCGAGCACCCCCTGATGGGCTCAGGATCACTGGGGCTGGGGGCCACATGCACAGTGCCCCACATCCCAAAGCCAATTGTTCTGAAGTCCCTCTGTCAGTGCTGGGGGGTGTGGAAACAACCTAGGCCACTCCTCATCTCGCCATGGAGGGGAACCCAAGCCCAGAGAGTGCATGAGACTTTCCCAATGTCACACAGCTGGTTTGCAACCAGCTCTTGTAAAGGCCCAGAATCCGTTGAGGCAGAGCCGGACAGAAACCACTGGTATTAGCCAGACTTTCAGTCACCTGTAGCAGCAACTTTCAGGAAAATGACCTTCTGGAATCATCCTGAGGGAAAGAGAAGTGTCTCAGAGGGACATCGTGGAAAGTGGTCAGGGGGGTTCACCTAGGAAGGGGAGGGTCATGGATCAGAGTTTCTTGAAAGAGGGTAGTGGGCAGGGCTTCTGCTCTAACGGAACTCCAGAGGCAGCATTTACCTTGTCCTCTGGTGAATGCTGACCCCTAGAGTTCTGTCTCTTGTGCAGTGCACAGCCTGTGAGGCCTGGTGGGGAGGCCTGGTTAATACAGTGGGGGTCAGAGGAGAGGTCACAGAAGGCCATGATTACAGGGGTTCCCAAATCTGGATTTCTGAACCACTCCAGACCTACTGAACCAGAATCCCTGCGGCTGGTGCTTCCCTCCCAGGGGAAATGCCTGGGTTTAGGAACCAGCTTGCGATCACGAAATCAGAGAAGAACAGGGACACCTGGCTTGGGTGGGAAGTTTTGCAGGTAGTGCTGGGCCCTCAGGCTGGGGAAGAGGCACCTGTCCCCCAGGAAGCCTCTCCCAGGGGTGTATGTAGCCCCAGTCTGAGGGGAGACTGGAAGGGGGGCAGGAGGCGTAGGGGCAGCACCTGTAGGGGCCCGGCCTCATTTTCCGGAGAACTGGCCCGGCCTCGCCTTCTCCAGCTTTTGACGCCGCTCAGGGGGAATCTCCTGCAGGCTGATGCCATGGTTGCTGGCCCTGCGGGCAAGGGGGCGGCAGCCTCAGAGAGGGGGAATTGCGGGTGGGAGGGCAGGGCCCAGGTCATTGCTACTTCGCGCCGGACGGGGTCGGACACGGGGCGGGACGCAGGGAGAAGGGGTCCACCCAGCCTGCGCCCTGTAACTCCCCCTGCCCGCCGACGCCGGCTCCTCACCCCGGTTGCAGGTCAGGCGGTGTGGGGATGGGCTTGTTGAAGCCGCGTCTGCCCACCAGCCAGTACGTGTCCTCGGCGCCCTTGCCCTGGGGAGACACCGGCGAGAGGAGGACTTAGGCGGGCTAGGGTGAAAGAGGGTGGATCTCCAGGTCGAGCGGAACCGGGAAACCTCGGGTCCCAGGTGCCGGAGCTGTCTTCCAATCCCCGCCCAGGAGGGGGCAGGGGCGGGGTCACGGGGTGGGGGCGGGGCCCGGCCTCACCTTCAGCTCCGTGCGGCCTCGCACCTCCACCTGGAAGCCCTCGTCCAGAGCGCGGAGAATCTGCACGGTGCTCATGTTCACGTGGATGCGGTAAGCTGGGACCGAGGGGACGCCGTGAGCTCGCGACTCACCTCCCGCAGTCCCCCTCCCGGGCCGTCACCCCCTCGGACCCCGTGACGTCGCCCTACCTCCCCCAGCCCCTCTCGCCCCCGTCACACTCACGCAGCCCGGTGGACTCCATGCGCGAGGCAGTGTTGACCGTGTCCCCAAACAGGCAGTACCGCGGCATGGTGAGGCCGACCACGCCCGCCACGCACGGGCCTGCGGAGACGCGGGGGGTCGGCGGGCGGGGCCTGGGCTGAAGCTGGGCGTGCCTGGCGGCTGGGCGGCACCTGGGGCCTTAGGGGACTTCAGCACCCCATAATCTCCACCAGCTCCCCAGAGAAACACTCTCTAGTGTACCCTCTCAATTACAAGGAGTGTCTGCTACGCAAAGGCGGCTTCAGGACAGGTCCCCTCACCCACCCACTCCACGAGTCTGCCTCCTGTTTAGGAAATGTGGAGCCGGGCCCTAAAGAGGGAGATGGGCTGGAGCCCCGGAGGGCCGGGACTTACCAGAGTGCAGGCCGATGCGGATGCGCACGGGCACCTCGGGCATGTGGCGCATGCGAAAGGAGCCCACAGCACTGAGGATGTCCAGCGCCATGTTTGCGATCTCTGCCGCGTGCCGCTGCCCATTCCGCTGCGGCAGCCCCGAGGCCACCATATAGGCGTCCCCAATTGTCTCCACCTAGAGAAAGGGGTTGTGCAAATTCAGGACTGCGCACCCCTCTGACCCAAAGTGATTGTCCCTTGTCAGGAGGCCTAAACTGGGGATAGTGCAGACATCCTGGGGATCCGTCCAGCTGGGGGACTGAGCTGGGGACTGGCAGAAGAGATAAGGGACAAGAGGGCTGGGAAAGGAGATTGGGCTGGTGGCCTGGGGCAGGTGGGCTGGTGGCTGAGCAGAAAGGGCTGGGCTGGAGGCTGAAGCTGAAGGAGGGCTTGCCCCCTACACACCCCACCTTGTAGACATCGTGGGAGCCGATGATGGCATCGAAGAGCGTGTAGAGGTCGTTGAGCAGGTCCACCACTTCGATGGGCTCACTCATGGCTGAGATGGTGGTGAAGCCCACGATGTCGCTGAAGTACAGTGTCACCTCCTCAAAGTACTCGGGCTCCACAGGTGTCCCCATCTTCAGGGCCTCAGCCACAGACCTGGGGATGGCAGGCCATGAGGTCACAAGGAGTTTGGCCGGATTCCAGCTGCCCTCCCCAGCCACCTCCCCACTGGCACCCACGGAGGCAGCATCTGCGTGAGCAGCCGGTCTGTCTTCTGCTTTTCCAGCTCCAGCTCCTCCGTCCGCTCCCGGATCAGGTCCTCCAGGTTACTGGAGTACTGCTCCAGCATCCGCAGCATCGAGTCGATGATGTTCGTCTTCCGGCCCTTGTTGATGCTCTTGAACTAGTAGGAGGAGGAAGCTGGTGGGGCTGCTGAGGACCTGCGTTGTCATGCCCATCTCATGGGGTGCACTGTGCCTGATCCTTTTCCCTCCATTCATCTTCTACTCACTAAGCCCCCCAGGGTGCTGGGCATTGTGTTTGCAGACATTATCAGGAGGCACATGGGAAATGGGGGTTCCAAGGGGTTAGCTGTTTTCAGCTAGTAATTGACAGGACACTGGAACCAGCCCAGCTTTGGACCCCCAGGCCAAGGGTCTTTCTGCCACACTAGGCTGAGCATAAACTTGATTCTCAATAAATATTATTAGAATTGAATTAAATATCTTTCTTACCCAGAGATCTGTCTCCTGTTCCAAGGCCTCCACAGCTCCTGTTCTAACTTTGCCCCCACCAAACCCCCAGTCCTCAGGCTACCCCTTAGGAAGTAGACTGGAAGGTCAGAGGTCCTGCCAGCCTGCCTTCCTGCAGCATCCCCAGGCTGCTGACAAGAGGCCAGCCCAGCCCTCCCCCAATCCCAGCCCCTGACCAGGTCAAAGGTGCGGTCCATGGAGGGCCGAAGGTCCGGCTGCTCTGCCCAGCACTGTTTCATCAGCTGGATGCACTCCATGGGCGCCTGGTCCATGGACACTGAGGGCCGACACAGCGGCGGGGGGCTCTGCAACCTCTGCACCACTTCTGGAGGCATGAGGGGACCGTGAGAGGGGGTGCCCCAGAGCGGAAGCCACCTCTGACTCTGGCCTGATTGTTGAAGCCCAAGATGAGGGGACTGGAAGGGGACCCTTTAATCAGAGCTTCAGTAAGTGGGGGAGTATAGTGTGGAGCCAGGTTGCTGCCAGTAACAAGAGGATTCTGAACCCTGGGGGGCAGGGGGCAGTAAGAAGTGACAGGCAAAGAAACTAATATTTATTGCATATAAGAAAAGTGAGAGGGTGATCAAGTAACTTGCTGAGTCCTATAGGTGATAAGTAATATGGATTTGAACCAGATCTGACTGCTCTCTTCCCTCTTTCCCCTCACTCTGCTGCCTCCTTGGGGCCCCTAAGAACCAGCGATGAGCCTGCTCTGTCAGCTGGGGAGGCAGGTTTGGTCCAGGATCAGGACAGAGGAAACCTCTGAGGTCTGGGCACCGAAGAGCCGCCCCCTCCCATCCTGATGCTTGGCCCTCCACTGCCCTGCTCTTTCAGATCCCAGCTTTAAGGGAGGCACACATAATTAAGTCTCATCACCTGGCTTTAGGGAAAAGAGGGAGGCTGGGTCTGGTCTGGGCCTGCCTAACATCTGGGTGCCTTTCTGACCCAAACGCTATGCGAGGGGCGTCCTCTGCGAAGGGCGTCCGTACCCTCTGGAGTCAGCTCCAGCATGGCGTAGGGGGTGCTGCGGCACACGACCTCCTGAATGATGATGCCTAGGCTGAAGACGTCGCCTGCCAGCGTTCCCTGGCGCTCCAGGGCCGGGTCCCGAAGCAGCTCTGGGGCTGTCCATAGCTGGTCTGGGGATGGGGAAGGGGGCTTGGGCACGCGGAGGGCCTTGAGGGCGCTTGGGACAGACTCCCACTCTCACCAGAAAACCTAGGCTTGCACCGCTCACCAACCCCCCAGTCTGAGTCTAGCCCTGCAGCCTGGAAGTTAACAGCTATCCCCAAGAGAAACTACCAGAAACCCAAAGCCTGTCTCAGAGAAAGCCCGCGCTCACAAATAGGGCCCGCTCTTCAAACTGGTGCCCAGGGAAGACTCCGCCCTTTGGCACAAGCCCCGCCCTTAGGCAAAGCCCCACTTAGAGCCGACTCCGCAGCAAAGGCAGGGGCTCCGCCCCTCAGGCTCAATTCCCGCCCCCTGACAAGCCCCCGCCTCCCCAGTCACAGAGCCCACCCTGCTCATCTCAGAGGTCCCAAGACCTTTTCCGTAGCAGGAGGTGTGTCCAGTGGATGTGGGATGGCTAGAGTGTGAAGGCAGAGGGAGGGAGGCAAGGAGGGGCCCTTGAAATAATGGGGATCTCGGCGGGATGCTCGTCCTTGCGGGAGGCAACCGGGGTTTCCTACCCTCCGCGCTGGGAGGCTCCGGTAACACCTTCTGCGCTTCCAGCAGTCGCCCGTGGCCGTGGTCGGTGACTTTAAGCACGAACCTCCCGTCCACCACGCAGTTCCGTGACTTCAGCCGCCCGTGGGCCACGCCTCGATGGTGTAGATACCTCATTCCCTGGAAGGGGTGAGGTACGAGGCAGCCTCAGCCCGAGAGGTTCCCTTGCCCTCTCCTCCCTGCACCCCCCTCCCCCCCACACACACACCTTGATGAGATCCAGTAGGAGGGAGGACTTGAACATCCAGTCCAGCTTTATGTCTTTCTGGGCGAGCAGGTCGTGGAGGGAGCCCCGGGCACAGTGCTCTGAGACCACAGCCAGCATGCCTTCCCTGGGGGCGGCGGCGCCGTTGGTTCCCCCCGCCAGGAAGAGCCCCAGGTAGAGAGCCACATTCTCATGCCGGAGCTCGCGGAGCTGAGAGGGGGAAAGTTAACAGGCATGTTCTGTCCTGGGGGCAATGTGGGGAGGGGCTGTGATTCAGGTCTGTTTTTGAGTATCCAAACTCGGAAGATGGAATAAAAATGGTAAATGGAACGGTCTATAGGGCATATAGGGGTACTTTCTTCTACAGATGACTTCTTTTTCTGGAGAAGACAACATAGTCAAAGGCCACTGTTCAAATACTGAGCATGGTTTAGCTTCATGTTATGAATGAAAAGACAACCTTGCCCTGGTAATCAGGACCCAGGCAGGTTCTGATTTATTAACCATAAGACTTTGAACTGCCCAGGGTCTTAAGGGAAAACACCTCATGAAGGAGAAGCCCTTGGCACCACCACCCTCCCCTTCTGATGTAACAGCCTTTGCAGGGAGAAGCTGCATTACTTTCAAGAAACACCAGAAATGGCTTGTGTCAGCGACTCAGCCAGGGGCCGCTTCCCTCGGTTACATCATTGTGTCAGATACGTCTGAGACATCCTCCCCAGGTTAGTGAAGGAGGGACAGAGCAGCCAAGCTGTGGTCCCAGAGGAGCCATCAACAAGGCCACACCCACTCCGCAGGACTGAGTGCCCTCACAATCTGGCATACTGGGAAAAAGGGAGCTAGCAGGTGCCAGGTGCCCTTTCTAGCTTTTTTTTGTCCACGTGCCCAGTAAGGGGCTTCTTTTCATTTTAAACACCTGCTGTTAAATGGCGATTTTTTTTTTTTTTTTTTTTTAAGTCCATTGACCCATGCAAGTAGTCCACTTAAGTCAGTCTGCAGCTGTGACCAATAGCTCCTGTGGCGATGTCAGGGAAGGAAGGAGGCCTTCCTTCCTGTTGGGGGGAATAAGGCATTAAGGTTGGAAGGACGAGAATAAGCCAGTTTATAGCCAACTTTCCACTTCACTCAGAATGTATCAACTAGGCCATTTTGTGCACAGAACTGGAAACCCACTTTTCATCTTCTATCATTCACTCAACAAACATTCATTGAATCTCTCTAATGTTCTAGACACTGCTGGGTGCTGGAAATACAATGGAGGGGGCAGGAGGGAAGTCCTAACAGCTTACAGACAAGCAAGGAAGGCAGATAAGCAATAAGCAAGCACTCAGATGAACATACAATTACAAATTATGATAAGAACATCAAAGGAAAAAACTCGTGTTATGAGAGAGCATAATGGGAACCTGCTTTAGAAATGAGGGGACAATTTACTGAGACCTCTTGTTCTCTCACACATTGGGGCCGAGCTCTGTACCCAGTTGCAAAGAGAAGGCAAGGAGGGAGGAGATGATGGCCACCACACCCTATCACAGGCCCAGCTCTCACCTTGGAGAAGGCTGTCTTGGTTGCTGGGCGGATAGCTATGTGCTGATCCCCTGGGAATTTCTTCAGCCAAACCCAGTCTCCCTGGGGCAGAGAGATGGGAGTAGGGAAGTCAGTTTCTTCAAACCCCCTAATGCAAGGAGGCCTAGAGTCCCCACATTTTCATTGGCCCACTGCCCCAGAACACATCTTCCATATGACAAAGAGCGTCGGGAGCAAGGGGTTTGATGTCTGTCAGTCCACTTCACAGCCAGCTGCGTGAGAGCCCACCCCTGGTTAGAGAGATGCAGAAGGCCTGTATGGCCTCACCACCCCAGATGCGCTCACCAGCAGCTCTATTAAGCGAGCTCTTACCACCACAAATGTCATTGAAATCACAGCACTCATCACCATCTGTTGCCATGAGAGAGCACTGTGCTGGGAGTCAGGAGTCTGGGTAGATCAGTCCTTATTATAGACTAACTGTGAAGTACAGGCAGCTCCCCTCCAGGCTATGGGCCTCATTGTCCTCAGCTGTTGGCAAGGCCATTCATGGGCGTGCCACTTGCACAGTCAAACAGGGCCCTATGCTCGGAAGGGCCCGAGCTTGGTTCAACAATTTACCATCGTCGTCTTGAAAGAACAAGGGGCCCTTCATTTTTATTTTGCCCTAGACCTTGCAAATTATGTAGCTGGCCTTGTCTATTGGTAAGGGATTTGGACTAGAAGGGAATTTGGGGGGTTTGGTAGTGACCCCTAAAGAGCATTTGGAAATAAATGTGGAGACATTTTTAATTGTCAGGAGAACTGAGGTTGCGTTTAGTGTAGAGTCAGAGACAAGAGACACTAAACATTCTTCAAGGCACAGGAACATACAATGAAGAACAACCTGCCCATAATGACAATAGTGCCCCTCTCAGAAAACGGCCGTGATGGCCTCTAGGTGACACCCTACGAGCCTCTGCATTCTCTCTGTGACCTAACACTCAGGAGCTCTAAATCTCCCCTCCTCTCTTGATTGGCTGAGCTCTCTCAGGGCTCTCTGACTCTGTTCTCATTGTCTCCCACCCATCCCACCACATTCCGATTTGTTGACCCCATAGTTAGTAGCCTAATGTCCGTGTGTGACTTTCTTTTCCCCTCTAAGGTTTGCTATTCCTGAGTCTGATCTGAATTGGGTGGAAATGCTGGGTGGGGCCAAGACATGGGTCTGGCTGGAGTCAGGGAGAGCCCTGTCTGGAAACTCCCCATCCTGAACAATGCATGCCCTGGAAATGTCCTTTTTGTGACCATGAGACCACATCCCAGATGCCACCCTGCCCCAATGTAACCTGAAGGCTTGGATCATTGAGGGGCAGGGCCAGAGGCTCCCAAAAGGGTGGGGGATGGCCTCAGAGGCCATCATGTTCCCTGCCAGCTCAGGCCTCCAGCCTCTGAGCCGCTGTGATTGGCCTCTAAGGAGCCCTCACCCGGATAACGGCTAAGGGAAAATCCTGGAGCTGGGTGGATTCCCAGATGCTCCCCTAGGGAATCCATGACCTCTCCCTAGATTCCATTCTGGGCTCCCATCCCTATTTCCTGGAACCTGCAGGAAACGACACAACTGCTACCTCCCTAGAGAGGGTGCCTCCTCTCTGCCCCGGACCTGAGCATCCCTCCTCTCACATCCCTCCTCTCACTGCCCCTCCAGGAAGAGAGCTCAGCCTGGCTGGGGGTCAAGCTCACCTCATAGAGGCCAATGTTGGAGCTATCCGCGGGCTGGCTGGGGACGCTGCGAATGTCTGACACGCTGCGGGCAGCCAGACTTGATCGACTCCCCTGGACCACCTGGAGGATAGAGGTCAATGCAAGGGCTCAAAATATACTGTGGGGCCAGAGTCCTGGGTTGAGGTCAGGCTGAGTTCTGGGGATTAAAGAGTGGAGGGGAAGGAATCTTGATTATGGAAGGTGATAATGACATTACTTCCCAAGTGCACCGCACTTTACAGTTTACAAAACAAACATATTCATTTTCCTGTTGGAGCTTCAACTGCCCCAGGAAAGCAGCCAGCACAGGGGCTGTTACCCTCATTGCACACATGAGGGTGCTGATCCCCAGAGCTCAGACCTAGGACAGAACTAGGACAGAAACCAGGCTTTCCCAGTTGGGGGCTGAAGTGAGGCTGGCCCAGGGCGGGGACCAGATATCAAGGGGAGGATATACAAGGCAGATATACAGCTGAATCCCCATTCCCTGCCTCCCCCACCTTTCGAGAGCTGCCCCCCTGAGGGTGGAGGAAGGTGATGTCGTCCAGAGTCAGGATGATCTTGTTGGGGCCAGAGACCATTTGGATGTGAAGTAGCCGGTGCCTGGTAGGGAAAGGAGGTCATCTCCACAAAGGGGACCAAGGTCCATGAGAAGGGGCCAGCAGGGGATAATTTTGGCTCAGGGGAGGGCAGTCATCCCCAAATCAGACATCCCCTGGGACTCTGCCAGCCCTCCAGGATGCATCCTCCTTTTCCCCTCCAAAAAAATCCTCCCTTCTTCTGCTCTTGAGTGAGCCCCGCCTGCTGTCTTTGCTGCACAGATGCATTTCTGACAGCTAGAGAGCCAAGCTCACCTCCTACCTACCTCACTCCCCTACTCACCTCACATAATGGGCCAGGAAGGCCCCTGCCAGCCCCACCCCAACCGCCAGGAGGAAGCCGATAAAGACCAAGCGTGGCTCCACTCCTGGAGAGGCAGTGAGAGGAGGGACGCTGAGGACTGCAGTGAGGGGAGGCACCCTCTCCAGGGAGGCAAGCAATCATGTCAAAGGGGGATGGGAGCCAGGAACCGGATCTACGGAAAGGCCATGGGTTCCGCAAAGGAGAGTGCCTGGGAATGCTAGAAAGGTTCCCAGAGAGCGTTGGGGGCTCGGCAAGAGAGGAGTCCTGCATGAGCCAGAGGGTTGAGGAGGACGTGGAAGGGCCTCTAAGAGGAGTTACAGGACGAGAGTTCACTCTTTGACCACTACGTGGAGGGTCCATGGTGACTGTCCCAGTGGGGGCTGGTGTGCTAGCCCTCACCTCCGTTACAGATGTTGTCTGGGTCAAACCAGCACCAGGGGTCGGGCCCAGGTCCCCGTCCCCCTCTAGGGAAATGCACCGGGGTCCCAGCGGAGCGGAGGGAGCCTCGGGTGGGATCCAGCATGTATGTGGCGAACAGCCGGTCCCCCGCGGCATCCGTGTCCAGCAGTACAAACGGGGGCTCCTCGGCTCCTCCCAAGGCCCCGCAGAAGCCGGGGATCTGAGCATCCCGGACGTGGTGGGCCACGGCTGTTCCGGACACCCAGCTGCCACCTGCAGCTGCTCGCGCTCGCACCACGCCGCCCGCCAACAAGTAGACAGCGTCGTAGATGGTGCCGAAGAGTGGGGATACCTGGGGAAGGAGAGTAGGGGGCCCTGGGTTCGGGGTGACGATCTGTAAACAGACAGGAAGGCCCCACCTATCCTTTCACAGAGCCCTTCAGGCCCTTCAAGCCTCGCGCATATTCGCTGTTCCCACCTCCTAGTTAGTGGTTGCCCAAATCCCTCCCCCTCCCCAGTGGCTATCTCTTCCTCTCTCCCCATTGGCTATCCTACTCCTTTTCCCCACCGACCTTCCCTCTCTTTAGGATCGTTAGGCTCTTCTCATCTTTGGTTAATTCTAACTCTCCCTCATCTACAGCCCTTCTCTTCTCTTTCCTGTTGGTTTCTCTGCATATATTTTTTTAACTTTTTAAAATTGAGGTATAATTGACATATAACATTATATTAGTTTTGGGTGTATAGTATAATGATTTGATATTTGTATATATTGCAAAATGATCAATATGATCCCTGTATATATTTTACTACTCTCATTATCTACTATTCACCTAAAAGCCTCTTTCCCATCTTTTGGTTGGCTTCTATTTTCTATTTTTCCTTCTTTTCTTTTCAAGGCTACCACCTGATTTCATCGAGCCTCTCTGTTATTCCCAGTTCCCATCTCTCACAGTAAAGCACTAGGGGGATATCCGTGTACAAGACAGAGGCCCTGTCCCAAGGCCTCTTTTGTCTAGAGGAGGAGACAGATGGGATGTCAAAGCAGTGCACAGAGTGTGGGGAGGCATATCTGAGGGAGCTTCAGAGACAGGAAACAGGGGCCCAAGCCAGGCTGGCAGAGGAGGAGAGGCTTCCAGAAGAAGTGACCATCCCTCAGGGGATGAGTCAGAATTATCTGGGGGTGGGTAGGGACAGGAGAAAGGGAACAGTACACCCAGCAACACAGAGGTAAAAGAGAAAGACACATTTAGGAAACCCATTTAGCTCACTCTGGCTGAAGTTCAAGGAAGATGGAAGAGAGGAAGACAGGAGACCTGGTGAACCATGTGAAGAGACCTGCATCTGTGCAGGGTGAGAGAAGCCACTAGGAGGCTTTGAACAGGGGTGTGACACAGTGAGATTTGTCAGATTTCTGAAGTTCTGATTGTTGATCTGATTGTTGGGTGGAGAAAGGCCTGGGGCAGGTGAGAGTTGAAGCAGGGACCATCTGGGAGATTTTGTTTTGGGACTTGGGCCAGAGGTGCTATGGCCTGAACCAGGGCAGTGACAGCGAAAATGGAGGAAGTGGATGGATTCTAATGACCTTTAGGAAATAAAAGTGACATTACTTGGTGTCTGGATGTAGGGGGAAAAGATCAGAGGAATCAAGGGTGACTTCCAGGGGTCTCACTTGGGCAGCTGGGTGGAAGGCTGTGCTACTTACTCAGAACCGAAAAGTTTTTTCCTCCATCCATCTTTCTCCATCTGCCCTCCATCCCATCTCACCACTGTTCCTAACTCTTGTTCTTCTCTTCTTATTGACCATTCCCATCCTTTCTCCCCATTGGCTACCCCAAATCCTCTTGAGGGAGACTAGGGGCATTTGTGGAAAATATTTTAACCCCCTTGACTCACAGTCTCTCTCACGTGCTCCCCTTTGAGTAGGGTCTTTGTGCTGGTTAGTTTACTGCCCACTGACATCTAAATTCCCTTCTATCTTAGTGGTTTCTATCTCAAAAGAGTAATGTCTATCTCCCCTTTTGTGAATGGAGTGGAGCTAGATGGTCTGAACTGGGATTCTGGGTTCTCACGGAATCCTGGGTATTAGCTGGTTGCTGGGAATAAGCTGTGGATCTAAATGGTTATGGAAGCCCCTGGTTCCACATAAGGCCTTCTGCTTCTCACAAGATGTCAAGGCCCTCAAAAAGTGAAGACCACCAGACGAAACCCCAGAGCAAACACCTCTGAACTGGGCATGAAGGTTGGATCTGCATCCTACCTCCTTCCTGCTCTCTTAAGAACACCGACTGTTTATTATAGACTGTACGTTGTGGTGGTGTTGGAAGTGGGTTTACTTTTAAGTAGGCTACAAAAGATGTTGCAGTGTAGAGTTCATTAGAGTTTACTCCTTGGAGTTGGGCTTGAGGGGTCTCATGCCTGCTCTGTAGGAGCAATCCTCATACACTAAGATGCCCCAAGCCTCTACATCCCCCAGGAAACTCCGGAACAGCTAGAGCTGCTAGTTATTCTCTCCCTGTTGGCATCCTCCTCCTCTCTCCCATCTCTCCATCCTCCTCTCATTCCATTGGCTCTATCCACTTCTTTTCCCATTGTCTATTGTCTCCTCGCCTCCCTTTGGCTATCCCCTGCTCTCTTCCCCGGCTCTCCTCCCCTCTTTCCTCCTCCTTGTTCCCTCTACCTGCTGCAGATTGAGGTCAGAGGGCAGCTCCTGATGCTCTTGGGCCCTGCGGAGGCTGTCCAGGATGCTGCCTCCCGGGGGACAGTGGCGAGTGAGGGTGAGCACCGCATCATGGGCCCTGCGAAGCTGGGAGCTGTTGGCAAGCACCGCTAAGGCCTCCGGGCCTGGGGACAAGGCATAGTGGAGCGTGTCGAAGGGCAGGAAGACCAGGGAGCCATCGGCCAGGCCCAGCTCCTCTGCGGCCTCCAGCAGGCAGCGCTGCTCCTCGCCGCCCAGCAGCACGGAGTGCATCACCATGATCACTGCTGCGGACACAGAGACTCCGCTCACCGCCCGTCCCGCTGCCCGCGGGACTGCCGACCTCCCCGCACCCTGCAGGGGAGCCTACCTCTGACTCTGGGCCCGTCCCGGACCCTCCTCAGGGCCTCCCGGGCCCCAGACAGGTCCGAGGGCTCCATGGAGGTCACTAGGGCAACGGGCAGACCCCGAGCCCTGAGCGCAGTGGACAGTGCGCGTCCCGCCTCCACCCACAAGTCCTGGGGGGCGGTGACCAGGGCCACGTGCGCCCAGCGGAACTCGCGAAGGAGGGCGTAGAGGGCATCCGCCGCGGGTGTCACGGCCGGAGCCGTGGTGCCGGCCGCTCGCGTCCCAGGACAGCCCCAGGGCACCAGCGCGACCCCCGCCTCTTGGGCCAGGAGCTCGGCCGGCCGGCAGGCTGCAGGGTTCACCGGACCCACGAGGCCGGAGACGTGGGCCAGCGCGGAGGACACCGCCCCCAGCGAGCCTGGCGTCCGGCACGGCTCGGGCAGCAGCGCGACCTCGAAGCGGGGGCCGCCTTCCAGGGCAGGGTCGTGGTTCAGGCGGGCGGCGGCCAGGCGGGCGGCCAGCTCCGGGCGGGCGCGGGCGAAGATGGGGTCGCAGGCCCAGGGGCCCAGCACCCCCACTCTGAATACGGCGGAGAGGGCGGAGGGCGGCAGGAGCAGCAGCAGCAGCAGGAGCCGGAGAGCAGGCCGGGGCCGGGGCAGGGTCCGGAGAAGGCAGCGCGGAGACCGAGCCCACCGCGCGGGGGCGCAGAGCCGGGGGTCGAGAAGCCCACCTGCGAGGAGGGCACAGGCGTTCATTGCCGGCTTCTAGGAGCATAAAGAGCGCAGGATGAGCAGATGAGACGCCCCAGAACTCCCTCTGCAGTCCCCAGTTTCTCAAAGCCCAGTTCCCCCGTGGAATGTCTCCCCTTCCACATCCCCCTCTCCAGGCTTCGACAACGGTATGGGCTCAGGGGTGCAGCCTGGAAGAACCCCGCGCTTTGCTCTGCTTCCCGTTTCCCCCTTGTCTGCCCTTCCCCCCTCATCAGAGCCGTCGGGGCTCAGTCGGGTCACGCCCACGCCCCTCCATGGCCTGTCCGGGGCAAAAGGGACTTGGAATCCGTGAGGAGGGACCTTTGTCACTCACCGGAAAGTCCGGAGCGGCCCAGGGCTGGGGTGAGGGGTCACAGGGCCGATCCTGCTTCTGACGCCCTCCCCCAGGTCTCCTTTGCCAGGGCCCAGGACGGGGGAGTGTGGGAACAGCAGGCCAGAGCGCTTAATCTCCCCAAGCTGATTAGGGTCTCTTAATCAGGCAGGAAGGGGCTGGTGGAGGATGAGGCTCCCTAGGGTGGATCCATCCTTGCTTCCAAGCAGCCAGCCAGATTCTTTCCCCTCCATGCTGCCCCCTCACCCCCAGCCCCCTACAACTCCCAGCATAAAAGCAGCTGCAGGCCCCCCTTTCAGGCCGCTGCCACACTACCCTGCTCAGCTTGGAAAGCAAAAAGATGTGCCCACGGACATTTCTGGGGGATCAGTCTTTGGGTGGGAGTTCTCTCAGTCCCATTCCCTCCAATCTTGTTTCCAGTTCTTCTAGCCGAGTCCAAAGCCCATCCCTTGGTTGGCAAAGTCTACACCCCAGAGACCAAACCCAAACCTGTCTCAGTCTGCCTTTCTTTCCTCACCTGCCCACACTTGATTCTCTGACCTCTGCTTTTCCATGCCTAGAAAACCATGCCTTTGGCCTTGGGAAAGGCAGAGCCCCAGGAAGTGATGGAAAGAGCTCTGACCTTGGGCAGACCTGGGTTCAAATTCCTCCTTACTGGCTTTGTGACCGTGGCAAAGTTGCTTAATCTCTCTGAAGGTTATTGTGAAACTTACCTGTGACAATGAATATAGTTGCCTGCATGACAAAAATGGATAAGACAATTTTAAAGAAGAATATGATGGAATACTTGTCCTACCATATATCAAAATTTATTACAAAACTATAATAAGACAGTGTAGTATTGGTGCAGGGATAAACAAATAGACCAACGTGACAGAATAGAGAGCACTGAAACTAACCCAGCAAAAGTGGAAATTTGACGTATGAAGAAGTGGACATGTCTTATCACTGGGGTAAGAATGAGCTATTCCACAAATGGAGCTGATTAGTCAGCCATATGGGACGGGGAGGGAGGAGAGAGCATTAGATCCCCATCTCACACTATACAAAAGGTTAAAGACATACATAAAGACAAAACATAAAAGCTTTGAAATGAACAATTTTTCAAGCGTCGTGGCAAAGATTGGATCAGGCAAGAGTCCTCAGTGGATGCTAAAGCTAGGGAGAAATTTTGAGGAGGAGCAGGATATTTGCATGTCTTGAAGTGTCTCGCTACAGATGGCTTATGAGTTGGAAAGGAGCAAAAAAACAGAAAGCAGTACTTGTAGAGTCGAGAAATCGGGCAACACTTCGACCAGGTGATCAAAACAAACCAATGGGGGGCAGATAGACATTGTGTGCCTCCAGATGTGGTACCCTGAGAAAAACACAATACTACACCTGTTTAATACTGCATAGATGCAGTACCACATGATAGGCATCTATGCAGGCTTCCAGCGAAGAGTGCATTTCATCAGTCTAATCGTGAGGAAACAGTAGATAAACACAAAATGAGGAGCATTCTACTAAAAAAAACAGTAGGGGCCTGTATTCTTCAAAAATGTCGATATCATAAAAGACAAATAAAGGTTGAGGAACTGTTCCAGACTAAAAGAAGCTAAAAAGACATGATAATTAAATGCAATACCTGCCTCTAGTTTGGCACCTGTACCAAAGAGTTTTAAAAAGTGCTATAAGGTTATAGGACTTATAAATATGTATAAATGTTACAAAGAAAATTAACATCAAATTTGTCAACTGACAAAATATGAACATGAATATTTTCATATGAGTTATGAATGGGAGATTTAATAAAAGTGTTTTATCAATGTAAATTAAAAGTTTTTTTTTTTGCTCAGGAAGATTTGCCCTGAGCTAACATCTGTGCCCATCTTCCTCTATTTTGTATGTGGGTTGCTGCCACAGCATGGCCACGGACGAGTGGTGTAGGTCCACACCTGGGAGCCAAACCCAGGTTGTCAAAGCGGAACGCTCCAAACTTGAACACTAGGCCACGGGGACAGCGGCCTATCAATGTAAATTTTTAACAGTACTGTAATTATGTTAGAGACTATCCCTATTTGTAGGAAATACTCACTGAAGTATTTAGCTATGAAGCACCATAATGTATGTAACTTACCCTCAAAGAGTTCATAAAAAATATATGTATATATTATATATCATATATATTACATATGATGTGTTATATATATAATATGAATCAAATGATAAACAAATAAAGTAAAATGTTAACACTAGGTGAATCTGGGTAAAAATTATATGAGTGTTCTTTGTACAATTTTTATTTTTGCAACATTTTATAAGTTTGAAATGATTTCCAAATAAGAGTTAGTAAAAAACTTTTACATAAAAAAGAGAATGTCTTTATCAATTCAGGGTAGGAAAGGATTTCTTAAATAAATCATATAAAGTACAAACCGTAAAGGAAAAGACTGATAAATTTGAAAACACTAAAATTAAAATTGCTGGTCAGAGAAGCATATCACAGAGAGAAAACGTAAGCCACCAACAAGAAGAAGATATTTGCAAAACATTAACAAACTATCAAAAATATATATGATATGAAAAAGATAACCCAGTCGAAAAATGGGCAAAGGGTATGAACAGGCAAGTCATAAGAAGAGCCTAAGGAAAAATGGTCAACCTCACCAATAATCAAGGGAATGCAAAATAAAACCATGAAATACCATTAGCATCCATCAGATTGGCAAAAATAAGAAAGTGTGACAATACCAAACGTTGGTGTGGATATGGGGAAAAACACAAACCCTATATTTTGGTGATGACGATGTAAAATTGGTGGGCTGTTTGGCAGCTAACTTAGTAGAGTTGAAGCAATTCCTCTTGTAGGAACTGCCCTAGAGAAAGTAACGTTTATTTGTGTATGAAGAGACTTGTCTAAGGAGTCATTTATTCATTCAAAAAACACTCATTGAATTTACTATGTGCCAGGCACTGTTCTAGGCTCTGGGGATACAGCAGTGAATAAAGAGTTAAGATCTCATGGAGGTGTACCTTTAATCACTATATTTAGGGATTTTCTGTATGTTTGAAATATTTTATAATTTGCATTTTTAAAAAATTTTAAATAAAAAAATTTTAAATAAAAAATGTTAATGTCTGACCTATAGTAGAGTCTCAAAATCTAGTAGGTGTCAATGTTCATTTATATAGTCTTGGGCTTCCTACTTTCCATAGGGGTATTTTCCCCAAATCTCTCCTCTTCTGACACAACATCTCTACTAGGAATCATGGATTCTCCACCCAACCCTTCCTTTCACAGATGATGAGACTGAGGCCCAGAGACTTATTTGGTTTAGTCCATAATTTTCTGATTTTCTTCTAGGGCTCGTGAAGTGACAGGTAATGTAGATACCGATGAAGAGCAGAATTTTTTTTAACTTTTTTTTATTGTGGTAAAATGTGCATAACATAAAATTTACCATTTTAGCCATTTTTAAGTATACAATTCAGGGGCTGGCCCAGTTGCATAGCTGTTAAGTTCCTGTGTTCCACTTCAGCGGCCCAGAGTTCACAGGTTCAGATCCTGGGCGCAGACCTAAGCACTGCTCATCAAGCTGTGCTGAGGCAGTGTCCCACGCAGAACAACTAGAAAGATGTACAATGATGACATACAACTATCTATTGGGGTTTTGGGGAGAAAAAAGGAAAAAAAGAGGAAGATTGGCAACAGATGTTAGCTCAGGGCCAATCTTCCTCAAAAAAAAAAAACCACATAATGATCCTATGGGAAACTTAAAAAAAAAGTATACAATTCAATGGCATTAAATATATTCGCATTGTTGTGCCACCATCACCACTATCCATCTCTAAAACTTCTTCATCATCCCCAACTGAAACTTCATACCCAATAAACAATAATTGCCCACTCTCCCCTCGCCCTAGTCCCTGATAACCACCATTCTCTTCTGTCTCTATGAATTTGACTACTCTAGGGACCTCATATAAGTGGAGTCAGGCAGTTATTTGTCTTTTGGTAACTGGCCTATTTCACCTAGCATAATGTCCTCAAAGTTCATCCATGTTGTAGCATGTGTCAAAATTTCCTTCATTTTTAAGGCTGAATAATATTCCATTATATGTATATGCCACATTTTGTTTATCCATTCATATGTCCATGGACACTTGGGTTACTTCCACCTTTTGGCTATTGTGAACAATGCTGCTATGAACATGGTGTGTAAACTTTTGTTCAAGTCTCTGCTTTCCGTTCTTTTGGGTATATACGTAGCAGTGGAATTCCTGGATCATATGATAATTCTATGTTTAATGTTTGAGGAATTGCCATACTGTCCACAGAGGCTGCACCATTTTGTATTGGAGGGGCAGAGTATTTTAATCCACCCTGGTCCTCATGCCAAGGTTACACAGCCAGACCCCAGCCACCACACTGCCCCTCCCTTCCAGTGACCCAGGCCAGAGCTTGTTTATGTTTCTTGTCTGTTGCCTGATAAATTTGTATTCAATCTGTAAGGTACTAAAGCAAAACACGCCCTCCTACATAAAGGGTGGGGCCAGCTCTTAAAGCAGCAGTTCTGCTGGAGTTCCCAGAGGGCAGAATTATATTTAAATCCAGCTCCTATAAATAACCTCAGCTGCAGGGGGAGCTCCCCCTCCGGAAGATCTTGGTTCC